GGGGGGGGGGGGGGGGTTTGCTGATAAAATCCAGAACTGCAAATTGGCAAATGGCACCTGGGTGTCATTCACTACTTCTTGAGAAGTAGTGTCCCTTACTTGTTAAGATAGTGTGCTGGGGTGACATTGCCTGGGGTCAACTCCAAGTACCTGCAGGTAGCTTTGTAACTTTTCTATGCCACAGTTGCCTCGTTTATGAGGATGATAATAAAAATTCCACTTCTTCAAGTAGCTTCTTGTTCCTAGGAATCATTACTGCTTCATTACCTTTGTGACACTTACCACTGCTTATAATGACTTATTCCTTTGTTCACTTGTTTATCTGTGTCTCCCCATTGGAATGTAGGTTCCAAGAGGGCAAAGAACATGCCTATTTCATTTGCTGTTACACCCTCAGTGTCTGGCTCATGACTTGTCTCAGAGTGGATGCTCTATAAATGTTTGTTGAATGAATTAAACAGATTTTGAGTTCTGAGACACAGAAGAAACATCTCTGCCTCAGTACTCTCATCTGTGAAATGGGCACTTCATGAGGGTGACTGTGGAAATGAAATGATGTGAAAACAGTCTTGTGCTACACAAATGCATTGTGAGTCCAATTCTGCTTCACTTCAGCTTTAGCCTCTGTGGAATTCACAGACCTCAGTCCATGTCCTACAAGTGGGTGAAAGACCCTGAAACTCAGAAGGGAAGAGGCCTGGTCTGGTAGAGAACCAGGAGTGGAACCCAGGACTCCTGCTTCACAGCTCATCAGGGAGAAGGGGTAAGAGAGTCCAGCTGGTCCCAGAACACAGAAGCTACCCATTCTGATGGGGAGAGGGTGAGCCCCGAGCCAGCCTCACCAAAGCTGGACTCAGCCTCAGAGNTTCTGATGGGGAGAGGGTGAGCCCCGAGCCAGCCTCACCAAAGCTGGACTCAGCCTCAGAGTCTTCTCAGGAGCTTCCTGTCTGTAGGTCATCTTGGCTGGTAGACAGTGAAGCGAGGCATGGACCACCATTCCTATGCCACTTCTTGAATATTGGATACCAAGTGGGGGAGATACTACCATTGGGTGGAGATCTGCAAGGCCAGGCCAAAACGCTTTGTCAGGAAACAAGGTCTTCCCTCAAGGGCATGATCACCTCTGGTGGGAATCTCCTGAAAAAGAGGCAGCTCCTCAGAGATGGTGGTGAGTTCTAGGTGAGTATTTGGATGCTGAAAAGCCTAAAGACTTTAGCAGTGGGTTCTCAGGGCTTGTGCATATGTGTATGTGTGTATGTGTTTATAAGTGTGTATATGAGTTTATATGTACCCAGGAGTATCGTATGCTTGTGTGTTTGTGTATGCTTATGTATGTATATGTAGGTTTGTGTGTATGTGGGAGAATGTATTTTTGTGTACATATATGGGTATATGGATGTATGTGTGTTCATATGTGTATGTGTATGTGTGGTGTATGTATTCATTATCTCTTGCTCTATTGCTGCATAACATATTATCCCAAAGCTTAGTAGCTTGAAACAATAAATGTCTGTCTCACACAGTTTCTGTGGATTGGGAATCTGAGAGAGGCATAGATGGATATTTCTGGTTCAGGGTCTCTAACAAAGCTGCAGTCAAGATGTCAGCCAGGGCTGTGGTCAACTGAAGGCTTGACTGGGGCTGGAAGATCTGCTTCCAAGATGGCACACTCACCCTCCTGGCAAGTTGGTGCTGGCTGTTGGTAGAAGGTCTCAGTTCCTTGTCATGTCAACCTCTGCATGCTTGAATGTACTCATGAAACAGCAGCTGGCTTCCTCCAGAGTGAGTGACCCAAGAGGGAAAGAGCAAGGCAGAAACCACAATGTTTTTGCAATCTGGTCTTGGAAGTCACATACCATCATTTTTCCATATTCTCTTGTCCACACAGAGCAACCCTGATATACTGTGGAAGAGGACTGTACAAAGGCATGAATACCAGGAGATAAAGATCACTGGAGGTTATCTTGGAGATTGGGTACCATGTGCAATATGTGCATGTAGGTATGTGTGTGTGCATGTGGA